CCTCCAGGAACAGCTCATCTATCCAAACGATTTCCCGGGCAAGAATACTGGAGTGGGTTGCCCTTTCCTTCTGCAAGGGATCTTCCTGGCCCAGGGATCCAACCCTGGTCTCATGCATTTCAGGTGCACTCTCTCATCTGAGCCACCAGGGAAACCAAATATTGAGAAAAACTTTTATATGATGATTTGAGTTGTAAGCTAAGATAACCATTTTTAATGGAGAAGTGCTTTTATTTGAAAGAAGAATGAAAAAGCTGTGTTTATTCTGACTTTGGTTATTTCGCAGGGTTTCTAGAAAATGGATGAACTGAGTCTGTCATTACATGGAAAACAACTTACAGTGTTCATTGCTAAAGATAACATTCGAGCTTTGAATTCTAGTAGAATTAGATTCTGGAAAACTTATATCTCATTGTGAGCATGATAACGTCCCAATACTTAATGATTTTCCTGATGGAATTGGTAGTAATATTCACATATGTGATTTTCTGCTATAAAGAAATATGTCAACATTTGGAGGGTTGGTTTAACTTAATTACTAATATGTTCCAAGTAATTGTTGCAGAATTTTTCATGGGTAGAAGATCCATTCGAAGAGTAAGATGTAACAAGAGAACAAGACGTTTGCATTCTATATTGCAGCTAACCTTTGAGTCAAGTTTTGATGTGGTATCAAAGATTTATAGTTATCTGAGGAGATTAATTTTTATTTTATTTATTTGACTGCACTGAGTCTTAGTTCTCTAGGCCAGAATACTGGAGTGGGTAGTCTCCCTTCTCTAGGGCATCTTCCCAACCCAGTGATTGAACCCAGGTCTCCCACATTGCAGGCACATTCTTTTCCAGTTGAGCCACTTAGTTATGACACATGGGCTTTTAGTTGCTGCGTGTGGTATCTAGTTCCTTGACCAGGGATCCCTGGGCCCCTTGCATTGGGAGTGTGGCTTCTTAGCGACTGGACCACCAGGGAAGTCCATCTGAGAAGATTATTAAAATTCTATTTCCTGTCGCAGCTAAGTGTTTGTGGAGTTCTTTTTTTCTTTGTATACTCGGTCATATTGCAGCAGGTTAATGAAGAAGCAGAAATGAGAATCCAGATGTCTGCTGCTAAGCAACATGTGAAACAGTGCCCCTCTCCAGCTTCATATGCTTTGTTTTGTAAAATCATTTTCATAAAATTCTGTTGTTTATGTTAACATGTAATAGGTTTATTATTGTTAACTTAAAAATGAATGAATAAATATTAAAAAACTTTTTTTTCATTTTCACTTCTAGCATGGTATATGCCTAGCTATACCCCACATAAACAGAAGTTTTTTGGGTTCGTCAGTAACTTTTAGGGTGAGAAAGTGTCCTGAGGTCAAAGTTGAGAAATACTGGTATAGGTATCTGTCCCTTGGGGCATGCTTCGTCATCTTATGCATCATACTTCCTTTATTGAACGAGTAGAGATTTTTTATTTTTTTCCTTCATTTTCTTTTCCCCTCTCCTTTTAACATTTTTGGAATTGGGATTCCTCTTGTTTCAGTTTATATGTATAGTTTATGTAATAGTCCTTCAACTCTCCCAAATCTAATGATGCTATTAAAATCCATGTTTGATTTCTCAGTGTATGTAATTTTACTTTGAAAACACTGCAAAATTCTTCCCCTTTACAAAATTGAGACTGACATTTATATCTGCAAGTAGCTAGAAGTGGAGTTTATTTTTCAATGAATGGGTGAATAACAGAATTAATTTCATGATTTGGGTGGTGATGGTGCACTGACCAAGGAGCCTCAAGTTCTGGCCAGAAAACTCTCCCCATGCTCTTCCTGTCACCTCTCAGGCTCCACTTACTGGTCTGTGAAGTGAGTCACGTGTTTCTCCACTGGGCCTGCATGCATGCTAAGTCACTTCAGTTACGTCCAACTCTGCGACCCTATGGACTGAAGCCCACCAGGATCCTCTGTCTGTGGGATTCTCCAGGCAAGAATACTGACTGGAGTGGGTTGCCATTCCCTCCTCCAGGGGATCTTCCTGTCCTAGAGATCTAACCTGCATCTCCTGAAGCTCCTGCATTGCCGGTGGATTCTTTACCACTAAGCCACCAGGGAAGCCCCCTTCTCCACTAGGATTAATGCTTAAAATAAAGATTCAGATCCTTTCAAGTCATTGACTTCTTAATGTTATTTAATATGTGCATGCGTGAGTATAAACTGGATGAAAATGACATAATTTTCACACAGCCATAAAACGAAGAAATTATAAACCAATAAAAATGAAAATTGTCACTATCAGCGTGAGACACTGTCTAAATCGCAGCCAGCATGAGTGTGGACATGCGGTATGTTATGGTGTCTTTACATTTGCTGCCCGTGTGCTCTTTGATGACTGTTCTTACAGCTCATCAACTGCAAGAAAACCTGACTTCAAGATCATCATGCTGTCACTTGGCATTCCTTTGCTGAGAACATATTGTTTACTTTTCAAAATGAGTTTTCATCTCCTGCGGCATCCTTCATTGTGTGGTTTGTGTCAATGCTGCCTGCGGTCTGTGCCCTGGCATCTCCTCAGAAGGGGCAACCGAAAGGTCTGCAGTCCCGCTATAACTCCACCTCTTCTTGAATCCACTTTCTTCCCCTGCATCTCTAATTTTGAGGGTTACAGATGCAAAGAGGTACAAAGTGCTAATTATTTGTATCTGTTTCAGACTAACAGATTAACACAGTGATCATGACTTTTCAGAAGACGATGATCCTAATTATTTATCTAATCTGAATCGGGTCTGCAGTGTATTTCTCTTGGGGAGAATTTCAGAAACAAGTTGAGTAAGCTGTTTTATTGTGTTCAGTTGAATTCATTGAAATTTATAGTCCCTGAATTTATTTGGGGGTGAAATATACTTTCATGTACTTTTTTATTTTATCATTGTCGGGACTGCTTTTAGTCATTGCTTCTGGACCATTTTTAAGGCCTTTTGTGAACTAATAGTGCTTCTTTTAGACTTAACACACACACACACACAAATATAGGTATACACAGTTCGTTAACAACCAAGCAATCAGCAACCCTGTAACTGGAGGCAACAGAACCCATATCTAAGGAGCAGTATTTTAATTTCCCAGAAGTATTTTATTCTCCCTCCTACCCATTTTGTTGCTTTTCTGCTTACATTTTTGATGTTTGAATCTGAGAACAATTTTTTTTTTAATTGGGAGAGGACTTTTTTATGGTAAGAGCATAGTACTATTAACACACCTAGATCCTTAGAGGTATATTTTTGTGAACTTGTTTTTGAGAGTGACTGTATAGTTCTTTGTTTTGTTTTGTTTCTATTTTTTTGGTATAAATTGTAAGCAATAAGGACTATCACACGTTTTTACATACACTTAAAAACTGGAAATTATTCTTTCCTGTAATTTTCCTGTATGTATTTCTCTTAGCAATTTAAGATAAACACCAATAGTATTAAATTAAATGTTCAATGTATTTTTTTCTCTGGTTATGTTACTTAGACTCTTTATTGGTTATCAAATCCTCATGATGTGGAAGTTAATGTTAAATGCAACATTTTATTATGATTCATATGCTTCTCTGATCATTCATATATTTTCTCTGATCGTTTCTAATTTGCTTTAACATATTTGAGACTATTGGATTGACAGTGGTTTAAATGTAACTGTTAACATATATAAATCATCTGTCCTTAGTTTCACATCCTCAAGGATCTCCATAGCCACACATTGACCAGATGCATCAATATTCCAAAATTGTTTCTCATAGAATAAATGATGAGTTTACTCCTTCTCCATTAAAGCTGTTTTGTTCGAGGCTTTTAATAAATATTTACCCTGCATCCTAGGTTTTGTAAACAAATTGCTCTAAGCATTAATTTAATCTAAAATTTTGTCATATGTTTATTATCCTTTCCGCTCAGTTGACGTGTGGGGCTTTTGGTTCTGATTCTCAGTGTTACAGATGCATATGCCTGTGTTCTTCTACCTGGTTTTCTAGTGTTTCTTTTCCGTTGTCACAGTCATCACATCTGCTAGCATGTACCCAGTGCTACCATACGAAGGCTGACCTGAGTTTGTTATTGATTTTTGTTAGAGTAATTGCAAACAGAATACAGCTGATAAAGCACCACCTTTTATGTAATTGTGTATATGAGTATATGGCAGGTACTACCTGAGTATACTACCATGTGGCGCAGTGGTCAAGAATCTGCCTGCCAATGCAGGAGATGCAAGAGACAAGAGTTCGCTCCTTGGGTTGGGAAGATCCCCTGTAGAAGGCATGGCAACCCACTCCAGTATTCTTGCCTGGAAAATTCCATGGACAGAGGAGCCTGGTGGGCTATAATCCATGGGATTGCAAAGAGTTGGACTGATTGACAGCATGCCACTTGCATATGGGTGTTCTACTTTTAAGATTTCATTATCTAAAGGATAAGAAATATGTTTGTGCTTTGCACTTTCTGATAATACTTTGTTGAGCAAAAGAAATATTTTATTCAACAGATTTATTTACTAGCAAAGCCAAACCAATGTCAGGATGATAATAGCAGCAATGGTTATTTTTGTCACTCTCTATTGAGTGCTCACCATGTATCAGGATCTGTTTTAGGCAGTCTATCTCATTTAGTCTTTGCAGTCCCCTTAGGTGAGAAGTGATGTTTTATTGCTGTTTGTGTAGGAAGGGACCAGGGAGAGGACAGTGAAGCCACTTGCCTAGAGCTACACAGGGAACAGGTGTGAAATGCAGATACACCTGGCCGTCTTACTCCAGAGCAGGTGATCTTGTGGATAAGTATTCTTTCATCCTGCAGACATCCTGTTTCTTTCACAGTGAAGTCTTTTAAAGAAACGAATGGAATTTCTACTTAGGATGCTCACCCACTGTCACCTTAAAGTGTTACTCTACTCTTTAATCTTTGGGACTTAACTATCTTTATTCTCACACACAGTTTTCAGGTGTTAGGTTATCTCTTAAAAACACAATGCTTTTTTGTGTTACAGATATGCCTCTTCACGTCCGACGGAGCAGTGACCCAGCGTTAATTGGCCTTTCCACGTCTGTCAGTGATAATAACTTCTCTGAAGAGCCTTCAAGGAAAAACCCCACACGCTGGTCGACAACCGCTGGCTTCCTCAAGCAAAACACTGCTGGCAGTCCTGCAGCCTGTGACAGGAAGGTGAGCGCCCCTCGTTCGTGTCTCCTTCACGCCAGTGAGGGCTGGCACCCATGGGCTGGAACTTTTGTGTCCACAGCATCCCCACCGTGTCCTCTGTGACCTTCACGCCAAAGTTCCAAGAGCTTCCTTATTTTGTATTGCCCTTGAATTTTCTGATAAAAGTCTGTGTTATTTTTTCATTTTTTTGAACTGATAACATGTTCATGTGGTTAAACATGACCACTTTCAACATGGAGCACATACACAGAAGGTCGCTCCCAGACTTGTCTCTTGGCTACCCTTGTCTCTCTCCTCTTCAGCAACCCTCTTAGGAGCTTTTTGCGCGTCCTTAAAGGGGTATTTTATCAGTGTGTAGGCATGTATCCACATTGGCCCCGGAGGTACACTAAAGAAATCACAGCATATGGGTTGTTAAGGATGAAAGTGGACGTTGTCCATGGTCATTTGCTCTCACTATGCAATTGTTAATTTTATCTTCATACGAGATGAAAGTGCACTGTCTAGTCTTAATAATATTCTCTTCTTTGACCTGATTTAATTTTGTCCATGACCTAATTTATTTAGTCTAAATAAACAAACGTTATTTTAGTCTATTTAGCCTACTTTTTTCCACTTTGTATTAACAGTCTTTGTCATATATTCCTTATCATCCCGTTCTGTTAGATCTCTAACCTTTTACCCAATGAGCTTTAAGCTGTGCTTGTCATTTTCACTGCTGAATTTATAAAATAGATTCTCAGCAAACATCTATTGAATGAGTTAATGACAATTTTTCAGTTCAGCCTGTAACTGAGCACTGTATGTATTGAGAAGTACAGAAGCATATTAATCACATATTAATAGTAAAATCACTTCAGTCATGTCTGACTCTGTGACCCCATAGACGTCAGCCCACCAGGCTCCCCTGTCCCTGGGATCCTCCAGGCACGAACACTGAAATGTAGCTTGGTATTTGCTTGATTTAGCCTTTGCATCTATGTTAAAATACCTTTTAAATTTCTTTTAACTTAGTTTCACATTTCAACAAACTCCTTTTTGTACTAGTTTGTGTAAAGAAAAAAGACGGAATATATAAGATTAAACTGAGAAGGCTCTATTAAGAAAAGCAATGTACTGTAGTCTCTGCTTATGTTGGATGAGAGGTTTAACTGTTAGGCTCATTCTTCTGACCTATTTTATTAGATATGTGATGAGTATCTTATTGAGATTAGCCTGAAAATTTAGAATTTTTGATCACACAACAAACTATTCAAAGAATCTGGTTTCTGAATAGGCCTCACGACCTTTCATTTATGTTCGGAATAGACCTGATTTACTTGGATATTCACAAATATATGGCTTCCCTGGTGACTCAGATGGTAAAGCGTCTGCCTGCAATGTGGGAGACCTGGATTCGATCCCTGGGTTGGGAAGATCCTCCGGAGAAGGCAATGGCCACCCACTCCTATATTCTTGCCTGGAGAATCCTATGAATGGAGGAGCCTGGTAGGCTACAGTACATGGGGTTTCAAAGAGTTGAACACGATGGAGCCCCTTCACTTCACTTCACAAATATATAACAAGTCAAGTTGGTAGTTTAAAAATATTTATTCCTTTTAGAAAGGTTTTTGCTTAGTTGTAGGATAGTGCGTCAGAACTCACTGAAGAAATGAAGGTTTTCTTTCTACCTCATTCAACATCTTGTCTGTATGAGTCAGCTTCACTTGTAGCGAAGAGAACCACAGGAGCTATTTTAGACATAAAAGAACTTAATATTGAGAATTTGTGTTTCAGAAAATCACTGGAAGGGCTGGCAGAGCAGGCCATAGTCTGGGCCCCCAGGGCTTTCTGGACAGTCTGGCTGGTCTGAGGAGTGGGTCCAAGACCTAATGTCCCCATGCCTGCATCTGCTCACTAGACATTAGCACCATCTCCTCATGTGCTCACCTTGCCTCCTGTCACCTGTGTACCTGACCTGAACCCAGGAATACCCCAGAAAACACCACCATTTCCACTGCTTGCCACTAACGATAGCCCAAGAAAATTATTTCACAATTATCATTAACATCACAGGCTCTTGAATCCCAATGAGCAGAATGAAGTTTGCTCCAGATACTTGTCTACAGGGGCTTTTTTTTCCTGGGAAATGAACTTGAGTGTTCTAGCCTCCAGAGCCCACAGAGGCTACCCGGAGCAGATGGAGATCCTTCTGGCCAGTTCTTTTAAAAATAACATGTATCTATCATTGTAAAAATGTGGGCAACTAGTAGCATAGAACAAAACTATAATGTCCTATTTCGAAACTCAGCTTAATACAGATGTTAATGATCACACACACAAAGTTGGAGTCATTCTCTGTCTACATAGTTGCATCCTGATGATTTCTACATTTCTTTCCATTTCCTGGGAATTTTCCCTGGTGTGAATTTTGTTAGAAATATTTTTGATGAATGCAAGATATTCCAGTGTAGAGTGTACTTCATCATTCTCTCATTGTTGGACATTTATACTATTTTTTCACATTATAAATATCAGTGCTATGAGATAAACTCGAATATAATTTTATTGGTTTTAAAAATGGTTACTTTACCCATTAAACTTTTTTCCTATTGGGAGTGGCATTTAATGTAGCCAGATAGCCGCACTATTCGTTAGCAAAGTCCTTGATTCACGCACATATCTCTAGATGACTTCGTATTCACCTATGGCACATATAAAAGGTAGTGTGCAGGGAATTTGTCTTTTGAATTGTCTTTGGCTTTACTTTTCAATACCTGTTTATAAGTTTCCTGGTCTAGATTTTAAGCTGTTTGTAGTTTAGTCTGAGGAGTTTTTTTTTTTTTTTCTTTTTAACATGTATATGTCTGATAATGCTGTCTTATTTTCTGTAAATGACTTGTGATGTTTACAGTATTAAGGAAGAATGCTTGAAGGAAAGCATACTTGCTTATTGGTATGAAATTTTATTTATTTGTGTTGCATCCATGAGAGCTCACTCATGCTGGGAAATTTCAAGATGTTATAAATTCTTATCAGTGTGTAGAGATTTAGGTTTTCTGTATAAAAACATGGAAATAAATTAGTTAAGCGTTCATGGTCCTGTGATTCATTGATCTCTGTGCTTGTATAAATCATCTGTTCTTGTATAACTCATCTGCATATGTAAGTAGTTTTCTATTTTTCCAAGTTAAACAAAATGGTTTTGGAGTAACCAATCAGCTAAAGCCTCTTCTTTCTGAACAAGACAGTCACAGTGAATTATCCCTTGTGGTTCAAAACCACGGATGAGAGATGGAATCTAACCAGGTTAAAGAGTGTTACTGTGCTGTCAAGTTTAGAGGGCATAGTGCACAGACTTTGATGCTACTAAGCCAGATGAGAACTCAGAAACCAAGAGTGCTACAAACTTCTGAATTTCTTAAATTTTGTCAGTTTTACCTGGCAGTGAGGCATAGAGGGGAAGAGAATCTTGGCTTTTTTTTCCTGAGATCTCTGGAACATTGGCTCATTCCTGTTTTTCAACATTTTGTGGCTGACTGCCCTTTCCACCTCTTTGAGACCAATTTGCTCACACTGTGTGTGGAAAGTATCTTGCTAGAAGATGTATTGTCCTTTGAGATTTTGTGTGTGCAAATTAAATATTTAATCTTGGGAAAGAGTCAAGATATTTCAGTCAGTGTGAATATTTAAGTTGTCTTGCCACCTATTCCGCCATCCTTGTTAGGTCCACGTCCCTATGAATGAAGTGGCCACCTAGGATGTGGACATAGTTTGACTCAATTCAGTGTAATGAGGCGCTTATCACAACCAGCCTGCCATGAGATTTCAGGGAGAAGGTCGCTGTTCTGTTCATTGGGCAGTGGTTATAAGCTGTAGTTTCTTTCTGATAAGTAATAAGAGGTGTTGCTTTTTTAAGGTAGAAGTAGATGTTTTTCTGGAACTCTCTTGCTTTTTTGATGATCCAGTAGATGTTGGAAATTTGATCTCTGGTTCCTCTGTCTTTTCTAAAACCAGCTTGAACGTCTGGAAGTTCTCGGTTCATGTACTGTTGAAGCCTAGCTTGGAGAATTTTGAACATTACTTTGCTAGTGTGTGAGATAAGTGCAATTGTGTGGCAGTTTGAACATTCTTTGGCATTGCCTTTCTTTGGGAATGGGATGAAAACTGACCTTTTCCATTCCTATGGCCACTGTTGAGTTTTCCACATTTGCTGGCATATCGAGTGCAGCACTTTCACAGCATTATCTTTCAGGATTTGAAATAGCTCATCTGGAATTCCATCACCTCCACTAGCTTTGTTCATAGTGATGCTTCCTAAGGCCCACTTGACTTTGCATTCCAGGATGTCTGGCTCTAGGTGAATGATCACACCATTGTGATTGTCTGGGTCATGAAGATCTTTTTTGTATAGTCCTTCTGTGTATTCTGCCACCTCTTCTTAATATTTTCTGCTTCTGTTAGGTGTATGCCATTTCTGTCCTTTATTGTGCTCATCTTTGCATGAAATGTTCCCTTGGTATCTCTATTCAATAAATATAGTTTAATTTCCTGCCTTTTTTTTGCTAATTTGTGATATATTGAAAGCATTTTTCTGTGTCTTGTAAATATTGATAGTTTGTACAATGTTCTGTTATGTAATGATTTTTTTGGACTTGTTTATTAACTTTGGTGTTTCTTATTGTTGTTATTTAACATATTTATACATTTTCCTTTTTTTTGCTCTTATAAATAATCTTTAGAAGTATCCTCCAGAGGATATCCTAATATACCAATCAGATGTTGACATCTCTGATTATTTTCTTAGAATAGTTTTCTTAAGTAGACTTATTTGACCAAGGAAACAAACATTTTTAAGGCTATTGATATTTATTTCCCATAAATTCATAAATGATAAAGTAAAAAGTATTTATGTTATGTAAAGAGATTTGTGATAATTCCTAGAGGGCTGGGCTGGGAAGTGAGAGGTAGAATGAAGAGCACCAAGAAGCACCTGGTACTCCTTCTGAATTCCAGTACTTACT